GGGGGGGGGGGGGGGGGTAGAGTCCAGGTAGCCCTCCCTGGCTGGCTTCAGGGTGGGGTGAGGGGTGATGGGCTCTGTAGGAGGGGAACAAGTATCTCACAGCATCTCAGCGACTGTTCCTTGAGGGCATTAGAGGGAAGAAAGGGGACCCCCCCCACCAAACACAGCTGAGCAAGCCCTCTCCGCAGCAGGACCAGGCACTCCAAGTGCCCCCCAAATGGAGGAGCGGATTTGATTCTCCCCAACTTCCGAATACCAGCCCCCAGGAATTTCTGTCTCGTTTGCTCATGTGTCTCAGACGCAGGCGCACAAGCTGGGCCCAGAGAGAGCCAGTGCCTGCGGCCAGGAACAGCACTGATTACAAGGATTGCAAACCTCCACGCATTTCTGTGCCCCCAGGGTCTGTCTCGGAGCACAGACTTAATATTCCTTGTGCATGCTTCGCTTCGGAACAGAGCTCCCGTCAGTCAGCAAGAGCTGAGGTGGACACCATGAGGGCTCGTTCGTTCCCTTCCAGAGGGCTGTTGGGCCCGTGGACCTCAGCAAATGCTCCTGCAGCAGCTCACTCCACCCCCCACCCCCCGCCTTGGTCTGCTGAGCTGGCGTTTGCCCATTTACAGCCGGCAGGTCACACATGCAGCCGCTGTCCAGCCCCGGCCCTGAGAGAAAGCCCGTGCCCGCCCACGGCCCCGTCCCGCTAGAGGCGCCGGAGGAGAGGCTGGAAGAGGTGAGGGTGTCCAGCAGGCAGGGGAGCAGATGGCTGGTAGAGGCGGCAGGGAGAGCAGCAGGTGCTGTGGGAGGGGAGCCTAAACTGAGCGGCATCCAGGACTGGAAAGAGATGGCGAGGGCACCGAAGACAGCCAGTGCCGAATGTCCCCCGCCGCATCCCAAGCAGACCCTGGCCCAGGACACCCGTGCCTGACTCCCCACTCCCCACAGCCCTCTCTTCCCAAAGCCAGAAGGAAAAGCAGGTGTACCTACCCCAGGTGCCTGCCCCTCAGGTGGGGTGGGGGAGATGCTGTCCCCGCCGCCGCCCTGGCTGCGGGCGCTGAGCTGGGGCGACTTGGTGGGCGACTCGTCGATGTACGGCATGGTCTCCGAGCCCTCCGGGGGCCCCTTCTGCTCCTCATTCCCCTCTGCGTCGTAGTCGTCTGCCCCGTAGCTGAAGTCTGAGACAAGGAACAAGAAAGGCCACTGAGAGTC